AGTGAAGAAAAAAAAGTTTAAAAGACAAACTGCTTAGACGAGAAACCGCTGCAGAAGAATTCCAGCCATGAGATAACAGGACTTTCAAGGTCGAAGCTGGCAGCTGAAACAGTCGCAGAGAGAAGAAAAGTTCGAAGGGGGGAGAGCTGCTTTTTCTCCCTTTCGCTCTCCCTCCCTTCAGCAGGGTAAAGACTGAAAAATAAAACCCTGCCACCTGTAGAAGTTTGTTGGGGTGAAGAGACCCCCATGCGTCTCACAGAGGAGCTTGTGGATGTACCAGAGATTTGTGACTTTAACAGAGAGAAAGCCTTATGCTGGAGTAAAAGCGGCTCAGATGAGGCAGAGTCCTGTTAAAGACTTTGTGACCCTCGAAGGGATCGATGCTTATGCTGGAGCGAGACGGCTCAGATAAGCTTGGGATCTCAGTGAGAGATCCATGCTGCTGCTGTTGAAGATTTATGACCCTGACGGGTATTAGAACCTACGCTGGAACACAAAACGGTTCAGGTAGGGATGTTGGGATCCATGTGTGGGATCCGTGCTGCTGGTGCTAGAGAGAACCTACGCTGGAGCAGAAAATGGCTCAGGTGGGATACTGGGATCCGAGTAAGGGATCCAGACTGGACCCATACCGAGAAGTCTATCAAGGACTGTTCTCCCATGGGGAGGGACCTCCATAGGGAAACAGGGGTGAACTCTTAAACCATTATCCCCTGTAACCCTGTGGAAGAAGATCCATAGTAAGCAAGTGTCCCCTTGCAAGTCTATGGAAGGAGACCCTTCAGGACCTGGGTAACCCTCAGCCTTCGGTTTAACCCAGGAGGGGGGTAGACCCAGCCCTGGAGGCCAACACAGAATAAGAGAGAGATAAAGAAGTTCCAACTGCGACGGAAGTGCTGCAGAGTTACTGGAGAGAGAGAGAGAGAGCTGGAATTCTGAGAACAGAAAAGGACTGCTTCTCCTCCTTGGACTGATATAAAGGGAGGTGGGGGGAGAAGTATCTTCTGTAAATACATAATACCTTTTACTTAAGTAGAATTGTTGTAAATATAATTCTTTAGTTTTAGTTTGTTAATAATAAATACTCATACTTTTTTTAATTCAGTCTCTTTTTGTCTGCATAAACCTTCTCTCAACTAGTAGTAATTGTATGTGGGGGTATAAAAGTAAATTGAGCCAGGGCAAAACCACGACAGGAAGGCTCAGATATTCCCTGGAAATCAGAGCATTCAGCAAAGCAGAGAATTCAGAGAGTGGCTGAAGGTCTCTGTAGGCAAACCCAGTCCCCACCCTGCTGGTCTGTCCCCCTGAGGGAGAGCTGGTGGCAGCACTTGGGAGCTGTGGAGGCATCAGAGGTGATCTGACACCTCCTGGCCAAAATCCACGCTGTGCCACAGCCATTTGTGCTTTATTTCAAGCAGCATTTTCTAACTAAGTCCGTTTTGCCTTCAAATGTGATGAATTATGAAAAGCTCCTTCCTTCCTGCTCTGCTGGGGAGGCTCTGAAGGTGTCACTGGGCAGCTGCACAGGGTGGCACCAGGACAGACTGTCCTTGGGCACCTCCAGAGTGAATCCTGTGTTATCACAGACTCAGAGCCTGTGCTGAGCTGGGAGGGACTGGTAGGGACCCCCAAGGATCCTGGAGTCCAACCCTCAGCCCTGCACAGGCCCAGCCCCAAGAGTCCCCCCCTGTGCCCCAGAGGATCATCCAAACCCTCCTGCAGCTCTGGCAGCCTTGGGGCTGTGCCCACTGCCCTGGGGAGCCTGTTCAGTGCCAACCACCCTCTGGGGGAAGAACCTTTTGCTGAGATCCACCCTGAGCCTGCCCTGACACAGCTCCAGCCATTCCCTGGGGGCTGTCCCTGGTCCCCCCAGAGCAGAGCTCAGTCCTGCCCCTCCTCTGCCCCTGCCCAGGCAGTTGGAGCTGCAGGGAGGTCTCCCCTCAGTCTCCTCACTGAGCCTGGCAAGGGCTCTGTGGCAGAAGGTGACACCCAGGTGTGAAATGCTCTTGTCAGCCCCGTTCATGCTCAGCCACAGCCCCACTCCAGCACATGCTGCTCTTCAAACACTCTGTGTCCAACCTGGCAGTCCCACAGCACCAACATCTCCTCAGCCTCACCCACTCAGGGCTGAGCCTCCCTCTGTGTCCCCACAGAAGAGAAGATTTAGAGGGAAAACCAATCTCAGAGCAGCTCTGGCTGCTCATTTTGAAGCCCAGCAGTTAAAGAGGCCGTGGCAGATCCATCCCCTCTGCCACCCTGCAACCCCACTGCGCTCCTGAGGAACCTGCTGAGGAAAACTCTGTGTTTGCACTCAGAGTTCTGGGTCTGCTCAGGCCAGCTTCAGATTAAATATCAAGCCCTGCCAATTGTATTACCTCATTATTAGCACACACTGGCAGCAGTTCTGGGGGGGAATGGATGTCTGGCCACGTTACCCTCTGTCACATCATAATTCATGGCAGGTGCCAGGAGATGTGAGGGAGGTTCACTGAACCCCCCCCCCCGGCTCTCCTGACCCTCCTTGAGTGTGACCTTTCATCCATCTGAGCTTCCCATCCACCTGATGTTGAGCCAAAACCCTGGAAAAATTTGGCAACCCTCAAGCCCAACAGGAAAACCCCAACAGGAGTATTTGGGAAGGGGGGGCAGGTTGTCCCTGGGAGTGCCAGGCACAACCAGCACCCCTGGCAGCTCACTGGGACCAAGCCCTGCTCCTGAATGATTCTCATCCCAGTGGGAGAGGGAGGAGGAAGCTGTTCCTGCTTCTCACTCCATATTTCAAGCTAAACCCCAGGAAAAAAATGAAGATAATCCATCAGAGCAAAAGTAGCCATAAGCCACGTAATATTAATTCAAGCTGTAGAGCAGTAATTCAATTTGCAGGCAAGGTAAATCTTTCACAAAATATTCCCCTCTTTGCTCAGTGCCTCAGGAATTTCCCATTCCCCTGGTTCTTTTTAATGCATTTGAGCTTCACATGAGTGCAGCCCCCAAACCCTCTGCTCAAACATTGCAACCACAGGCAGGGCAGACAGAAGAGCAATAAATCCCCCCCAGTACACCCAGCTTGGAGCTGCTGGGGCTGCTGAGCTGGAGGAGGGGGAGGATCAACCCCATCTCTGCAGAAAACACTTCCTGAAAAGCCTCCAGCAGGAATTGAACACCTTCCATCTGCAGCCCATTCCTGCAGCTTTTGACTCCACCTCTCCCATTACAGGTCCCTGCACACCAGGAGTGTGCACAGAACGGTGCCAAAGTCTCGAGTCTGGGAGACCAAGAGTCAAGGAACAACTGGAGATGGATCAAACCTGGGAGCCAAGGCCCCAGCGCTCTTTTCCCAAAAACGCTCCGAGTTTCGGTAAAAGACCCCGGGAATTGGCACCAGGCTGAGCCTGGGCTTTGCAAAACCTCAGGAGACGTGCCCTGCTCTGCCAGGAAAGGCCAGCACAGAGCAAGGCCCAATCAATAACTTTGGGAGAAAATGCTTTTAAAAGTGAGGGATTCTTGTTTTGCCCGTTCTCTCAGGAATGAGATCATTTCCACAGCCCAGCTCCTCTCTCTGCCAGGGTGTCTGTGCCTGTCTGGGGGACATGCTGAGCACCCTGGACAGGCTGAGAGCCCCTTCCCTGCTGAACACAGTGTTCCTGTGCAGCTCAGGGGTGTCCAGGGATCCCCCACCTCCCCTGCTCTCGGCTCTTCACACCCTCCCCAAGAATTCTGGGCTCTCACTGATCCCCCTCCAAGCAGGGCTCTGCTCTGGCCTCATTTCACTGTTTGCACCCCGTCACAGCTCCCTGTGAGAGGGTGGGAGAAGGTTGGAGCTGCATCCCAGCTTCCCTGCACACTTTTGTGCCTCCCTTCCCGCTCTGACCAAGGGCATTTTAAAGGCGTTCTGCTCACTGTGAGCAGCTCTGATTGTTAGAAAAGTCCTCCTTGGCTCCAGCATCCTGATGCTGCATTTCCCTCTCCCTGTTAATGGTGGGTTCTGTTTCTTTTATTACCACTCAGTAATTGTTTGATGAGCTCTCACAGCGGGACTTCGCTGGAAATTATTCCACCCCTCCAAACTTCTCCCTCAAAGCCCATCAACACTTCATTAGCACGGGGAGCAGCTCCCACCCACAGAATCTTTCACTTGTGGCCACAGGGCTGGGCAGCTCTGCCTGGCTGGGCACTCAGATCATCTCCCTGGCTCAGATGGTGCCCAGGAATGCGAAGAGAAAGGTTACAACAGCCTTGCAAAAGAATATTTGCAACTGGGATTCTAGGGGTGTCCTGGGCAGGGCCAGGAATTGGCCTTCCATGATCCCTGTGGGATGTTCCACGGTGGTGATGGCAGCAAAGGAATCACTTCCATCAGTCATCCTCAGCCTGCCTCAGCTTCTGGTATCTGACTTTGGTTTGCTTTTTAGTTGTGTGAAATCCCCCTCCAGCCTTTAACAGCCCCTCGTGGGAGTGAAGGCTCATCAGGATCTGCAGCTTCTTCAGGAGGGGCAGCTCCGACCTCTGCTCCCTGTGGGCAGGGACAGCCCCCAGGGAATGGCTGGAGCTGTGTCAGGGCAGGCTCAGGGTGGATCTCAGCAAAAGGTTCTTCCCCCAGAGGGTGGTTGGCACTGAACAGGCTCCCCAGGGCAGTGGGCACAGCCCCAAGGCTGCCAGAGCTGCAGGAGGGTTTGGATGATTCTCTGGGGCACAGGGGGGGGATTGCTGGGATTGTTGGGGATCTGGGACCTTTGCAGAGGAAAGTTGCAAGATCTGTTCTGTCCCCACCCAGCTGTCACATAAAGATGCTTCAGCTCCCTCCCATGGGTTGCTGGACAGGCAGGTTTATCTCCAGCAGGTTGACACCTCAGAGTTGGGCTGTGGCAGAACCAAAGCCCTCCAGCTTCCTCTCCAACCCTTCCTTGGTGAGCACAAACGATTTGAGCCCAATCCACGAGCCCTGGGAACGCCCCCCCATCCCCCAGGAACAGAGCAGGACCCCGGTGGGGACTCACCATCCATGTCCAGGCGCTGCATGATGATGGCCAGCTCCACCTCACTGGGCATGTACCCCAGCGAGCGCATGGCCATGCCCAGCTCCTGCTTGGAGATGAAGCCATTCCCATCCCTGTCCAGCACTCGGAAAGCCTCCCGGATTTCTGTGAAGGGCAAGGAAGAAGGGAGGAGTTGTTACGCTGGAGGAGTCCTCGGGCAGTGTGTCAGCGAGGTGGGAGCACAGAAGCAGCTGGGATTGCCCTTTGGGATGTGAATGGTGGGTGTTTTGTGCTTTCAGGCGGTGCAGTCGTGGTTTGTTGATGCAGAGAAGCCTTTGTGTGTGCACAGTGTGTGCACCTGGGAGAGCAGAGGGGACAGCAGAGAACCACTGAGTCATTTAGCTTGGAACAGCCCCCCAAGACCATCCAGTCCAACCATTAAACCACCACTGACCACGTCCCCAAGTGCCACATCCACACAGCTGTTAAACCCCCCCAGGGATGGGGACACCCCACTGCCCTGGGCAGCTGTGCCAGGGCTGGACAACCTTCTTCCAGTGACAGACATTTTCCCAACATCCAACCTCAGCCTCCCCTGGCACAGCTTGAGGCCGTTCCCTCTTGTCCTGTCCCTTGTCCCCCTGAGCAGTTTCCATCTCCTGCTCACAGCTTTGCTCTCATTTACACCAACTGTACAGCAATAAAGAGCTCAGATGAATCACAGTCTGATGGCACCAAAGGAATCACTCCCATCACACGTCCCCAGCCTGGCTCAGCTCCTGACATCTGACTTTGCTGTGCTTTTTGATTGTGTTAAATCCCCCTCCAGCCTTTGACAGCCCCTCTCCACTCCTTACCCACTGGGGTCTGCCAGAGCTCAAGGAGTGTTTGGACAACGTTCTCAGGGACCTGGTGGGATTTTGGGGGGTCCTGTGCAGGGCCAGGAGTTGGACTGGATGATCTGATGGGTCTCTTCCAGCTCAGGATATTTTCTGACTCCATAATCCACCACGATGATGTCTCTGCACCTTTCCTGCTCCTCACAGACCTCTCAACTTGCAGCCCCAACCCCAAAGCTGCCCAAATCTGACTGGTGCAAATGCCAGGCAGAGACATTTGAACCTCCCAGGCAGCTGGGAGCCTGTTCCCAGAAAGGGTTTGGTTGGGAGTGGGGAGGGAAAGAGGTGCTGATTGCCCCATGCATGGGGAGGAAATCATGGGATGCTTGATCATGTTTTACAGGAACCATCAGCACACTGGGACCTCACTCTGCTCAGAGCAGTTCAATCTTCAGGTGAAAGCATCTCACTGAAGTGGGAGGGAAAACTCAGCACGTTTTTTCGGGGAAAAAAAAACAACCCCTAATTAATAATTCTTCTATTTTCTCTCAAGAAACAGAGGATGGAAAACATTTGGGCCCACCCTGGGTAGTTCAGGCTTTTAAGCCTCAGACAAGGAAATATTCCCTGCCAGAGTGTCACCTCCCAGGTGGGAGCTGGGTGGGAGAAGGTGGTGGGGCTGCTCAAAGCTGGAAGTGTTGGCCCAGAACGTGGAGAGCCTTTGGAGCAGGAACAAATCCCACCAGCCACTGCCAGCTGTGGGGAAATCTCTTCTCCTGTGCTGTGCTGAAAGCTCAAGTGCAGTAAATATTCCACCAAAATCAATTAATTTCCAAATCCACTTCTGACTGCTGAAGACTAAAGAGCCAAATGTATCCCAGGGAGCTGAGAGAGTATCTTAGAGGGTAAAATCTGGGTTTCCAGGTGAGTTTGGCTGATCCAAGGGCCATGGATCTGCTGTGCCACCTCCTGGAGTGCCCTCTGTGATTTCAGAGGGTGCATTCACAGCACTGCAACCTCTGAGCCTCAGTCAGAGGAGAAACCCTCCCTACATTTGGGGTCCTGCTCTGCTCCTCTCAAGAGCCCTGAACTGCTGAACCACCTTCCCAAATCAACTCCTGACACCAAGTGGAGCTTTTTGTCCCCTCATCACTCTATAAATACCAGTGGTGCAGAGGTAGATTGGGAGAGCTATTTATAGGCTGAACACACTGTACATGAACAGCTCTGACCTCAGTCAGTGCCTCCTCTTTATCTGCACATGTAACAACACCTCCTTAGCAGCTTTTCTTTGGGGTGATTCTTTCCCCTCTGTGGTCCTGGTGGAGCCACAGGCCTGAGGATCCTTCCCAATCCCAGCCCACCAGCACTGCTGGGGTCCCAACCATCAGCCCATGAACCTGTGGCACCTGGCTGGCCCTCACCTTCATCTCCAGCTGTTAAACTTCATTACCCAAAGCTAAAAATACTTCAGCACTTTCCCCAGATGACTTTCCCAAAGAAGTCTCCATGGCAACTGATGCTCCTGGCTCCAAACTGGGGGTGGATGTGGTCCACGAGGGAATCTCTCAACAAAGACAGTTCTGGGGCTCAGGAGAACCTGTGAGACCTCTGCCATTCCAGGTGGAACCTGGAGGTTTTACCCTGATCAAGAGAAGCAGAGCCCTGTTTTGTCTTTAAAAAGGAGAGTAAAGATAATAAGGGGAGTGGGTGTTCAAGAGATGCTGCCCCAGGAGCTGCCTTTCCCCCTTGCCCAGCCTGGATGGCAAAAGGAAACCAAGCACATGGATCCCCTCTTCCCTGGGGTGTCAGAAATGCTGATATTTATTCCCCTTTCCACTGTGTAGCATCTTCTTTTACTCCCAAATATCAGCAGCTGACACAGAAATACCTTAGAGGGTAAAAAGGGGGGAAAAAAAGAAGAGAAACTGTAAAGAGAAGAAAAAAGTGGCCCTTTCTGGTGGTGATGGCACTGGCCTGAAGTCAGGAAACATTTGGGCTCTTCTCCATGGCTCAGGTTCTCCAGCCCCCAGGAACAGTGAGGTTTCCACACAAACATCTCCCCCCTGGGAGCAGCACTGAACCATCTCCCCCCCAGCACTGATTCCAGCAGGAGCAGATGCCACTGCCAAGAGACTCTGTCAGCTGGACAGATGTGATGTTGGACTCTGAACAGACGTTCAGGTGAATGAGGGGAGGGAAGGAATCGACATCCCAGCCCCTGGAATCCCAGAATGGTTTGGGTTGGAAGGCACCTTAAAGCTCATCTCGCTCCACCCACGGGCAGGGACACCTCCCACTGTCCCAGCTTGCTCCAAGCACTGCCCAACCATCCAGTCACCCCAACAAACACCTTTGCTAATGATCCCACAGAGGGAGTGTCCACAGCATCCATTCAATTCCCAAAAGACACAAGGCTGGAAAGAATTGCCAGGGAAAAAAATTCCAGCGAGGAGGAAGGAGCAAATCAGCCAAGATTTCGGGGCAGAAGGGCCCTATCCTGGCTCAGCAGGTTGGGGAGCTGAAAGCACTTTCTAAGCACAGTTGAGCCAGGAATGCTTTTCCCAGGATGAGGATTTCTGTTCCAGGGGAGCTGAGAGCAGCACTCACCTCTCCAAGTTATCTGAGCATTCCAGAGCAATCAGGGAAAGGGGGATGTGTTGTGTGTTTGCCTTTCATTCATCCCCCCTTTCCTCCCATTTCACAGCTGCACTTCACAGCTTCCCTATTACTGTCCAGTCAATTCCCCCCCACACTCCTCTGGGAAGAAAGATGGGAAGAATCAGGGAAAAGGATGTTTGTTTTTTTTAATTTACCTTTGTGAAGGGCACACACAGGGCTGGTGCCAGAGCTGCCACCCAGCCCAGCAAGTCCTAAACTCTCCACGTGCATCCCAAAACCCATCCTCAGCCCCTCTGCTCCCGCTCCAGTCCTTCCTTCCCCAACATCCCATATCCCTTCCCAGCTCATCCCTCCTCCCTGTTCACAGCAGGTTCATTTCCAGGTGATTTCCCTCTGCCTGGACAACCATCACTATTTTCATTTGGCTTCCTGGATGAGGAAGACTCCCGATTCCCCGGGAAATCAACCCATCCAGAGCCGTCCCTGAGCACCCTCAGATGGTTCCACGTCACTCACCGGGTGTGAACCCCCCCTGCTAAAGGTTGCAATGCGGGTGTAACCATCACACCCCCCGTGCGGAGCAATCCCAACCGCGCGGGTTTCAGCAGCAGGATGAGAGGGGAGATCCCCCCACCCTGAACCTTGAAAATCCTCTCGTTCCCTTAACTGCAGGTTCGGGCACCGAAGTACAAACCGAGTGATCTCGAAGCTGCAAATAACGCGTCCTCGAGTGAACTGGTGAGCCTTGTAACTACTATGTCTACAAAAAATGGAAATTTCCATCCCTCCATCTGCTGTTTTACGCTTGGGTTTTTTTCCCCTCTTTTTTTCCTCTTTTGCTGCAAATTGCAACAAAGTGTCAAAATAAGCACGGTTTTCTTCTAATGGCAACGCCCCCCCCCCCAACGTCTTCCAATCGCGAGTGTCAAAATATTTCCCTCGGTTCCTCTCGATGTCGGCAGAACCAGATCAAACCCTCTCCCTGCAACCTGGAGGGTGAGAGGTTCCAGATCTGAGTCCTCTCAGTAGCACCGAAACCAGCTGAAAATGGGGCGTAAATGGGGATTTCATCGTCGTCTGGGAGCTCCAGCGGCTCAGAGAGACACAGGGATGTCAGACGGGCAAAGCTCCTCAACCTGACACAGCAGCTCAGCTCACGAAGCTCTGCCTCAAACCCGAGTGCCTCGCCTCGTTTGGCCTTTTCATACATAATTTGGCAGATTTTTATGTTTGTCTCCCTTCCCCGGAAAAAAACAAACAAACAAAACCAAACAAAACCAAAAACAACAACAAAAAACCCGCATGATTTGTGGAAATGACACTTCCTGTGGTTCTGTTCCCAAACACATCCCAGGCAAACCTGCGGGAACACCCCATTTCCATACAAATGCACGACTGCCAAGCTCTCCCTCAGTGAAGCTTTTAGTGCTGGCAGCAGGGATTGGGGATAGTTCAGGATGTGAATTGGAGGCTGGGCTGCTGGACAGCAGCATTCCAACCCCTTCGGTCCCCAGCGTGGCTCCATCCCCTCCCCGGGACCCCACGAGTCCTGCCATCCTGTGCAGATGATGTTATCAGAACGTTCTGGCAAAATAGCAACTTCCCTGTAAAGTTCCCTGCTGTGGGAGGGAATGGGATTTTCCACCAGGACACCAGCAAGGCTCACCCTCAGTGCCAAAGGAAGGATGTGTGGGGCTGGAGATG